AGGTCAGAGGTCAAACTGATCTTGCAGCCTGTGACCTTTAAAGGTCAGAGGTCAAACTCTGACCTTTAAAAGTCAGAGGTCAAACTCTGACCGTGCAGCCTGGGAACTTCATCAGAGGTCAAACTGACCTTGCAGCCTGTGACCTTTAACGGTCATAGGTCAAACTCTGACCTCACAGCCTGGGACCTTCATCAGAGGTCAAACTCTGACCTCACAGCCTGGGACCTTCATCAGAGGTCAAACTCTGACCTCACAGCCTGGCATCAGGTTTAGTATTAATATTTGAATACTCAATGTAAACTGAGATGTGAGGGATCAGGCAATACAAAGGTAAGAGAAGTGGAACACAGGTAGGAGCTGTAGGAGAGGAGACATGTGAGCATGGTTCCTGTAAAGATTGATGATTACTTGGAGGGGGAGTACGGGCGTACTTATGGTTTTGTAGTCTGCAGGTTAGAGAGAGGACGGCTGAGCAGACCAAGGTGACCAGATAAGCACCGAGATGTGAGTGGCAGGACGGAGCACAGGGCTGGATGGCGAGATGTTAAGGTAAGTTTTTGTTGTTGGTTGTAGGTAGCAGATCCAGGATATGAACATGGACGACACGAGGACTTGATGAGGTGGGATCACTAGGAGGGTCCAGGAAGTGAGGAGCAGAAGCTACAAGGCGCACAAGGAAAACAAGCATAGTTCTTGGATGAGATCTCACCAGGACCAGACAAAGAACTGATGTGGGACAAAGTTCCAGCCAAGTCTAGATGGTCCAGGCAGTCTTATCTTCAGATTCCTCATCACCAGATCTGGATCTGCTCTGCCACTCAGGAGCTGCAAGAGGTGTCAGACAGTGGAAAAACCCAAAATCCCTTCACCTGGGACCTCCAGCTCAGTGGTCTGTCCTCTGGACCAAGAGGACCTCACTGTTGTTTTGGTGAGTCCATCTGGGCACAGTCCTGAGACTCAGAACTGTATGGTAGAACAGGTCTGAGCTTTACTTTGACCTCTTCAGTTTGAGCTGCTGAACAAATTAAATTTTAGAGCTTAAAGAAGCAGGAAGGAGCCGAGATAAGAGTCCATTTCCTGTCCTTTCAAAGTAAAAGCGTGTGGAGTCTGTGAAAACACGTTTATCTGAACTAGAAGTGTTTGTTTTTTTTGTTTTTTTCTTCAGAGCTGCACGATCTTCTATCAGCTTGTTTCCTGAGCTCACCCTAACGACTGGGTGGCGGTATGTGTGTGTGTGTGTGTGGGGTGTGTGTGTGTGTGGGGGGGGGGGGGGGGGGGGCAATGTCTGAAAACTGTCAGACCCGTTTTAAACACTCGAGATTTCTGTCTGCGCCGAGTCCAGCAGAGCTGAAGCAGAAGTGATGCAGCAGGTTTATAAACCAGCTGTTTTCACCAGATGTTTCTGGAAACACAAGAAGTCAGAGTTAGTCTGAGGGCGGCAGGAAGTCCTTCATCTTATTCTCAAAAAGTATTACTCAACCTGCAGCGCCTTCACCTGAGCAGGTAATCTGCCAAACACATTATAGTTTATATATTGGCGGCTCGACTGATCAGATTTTTCTATCATTAGGCGACAGCGCCATCATGTGGACACCAAACATCCAGAGCCAAGTAGAAATGCTGCATTATTTTGTTATTGTCGCAGTTAAATGCTTTTTTGGGTTGTTCTCAAATAATTAAATTCTATTCTGATATTTTTTTTAAAAAAGCACTAGTTTGTGTGTTTAAAGTTTGTTTTATTGTTTAAACACATTGAAAGATATGTAGCAGCGTTGCCTAGTTATTCACTCAACCTTTATTTATACAGTTATGAACAATGTCGCCATTATTGAGGTCTTTTAGTTGTTGTCATTTTTAAATTTGCTTCTAGCGACTCCTGAAGAAGAGGGAAAAGCCGAAAGAAGAAGGATCTGAAGGTCCGCTGGGTCTTCATAAAACTCCACACTGGAACTGTTAAAAAACTGAAATGTGGAAGTTTTTATTTTTTTAAATAAAAAAACACTTAGTTGTGATTTTTTTAAATTTCTTACTTGAGAGCTCTCAGACTGACCTGTTCATTGTGGAAAACAAAATTAAAATATTTGTAAACAGGTAAATGGACTTCTCTCTGCTGGAGGACTTTATTCTCAGAGGTCAAAGGTCAAACATCCAAACTCCGGTGACTGTTCAGTTGACTTTATTTAAAGTCACATTAAAACTGAACAATTCTTTCATCAAACCTAATAAAATAAAAATGAAGATTTAATTTTTTGTTGTTGTTGTTATTTATGGGTCTGCTATAAACAAACATGTTTTTCTGAAACAGGAAATGTCTTTAATAAAATGTAAACAAAGAAATTTTACAGACAGAAAAGACACTTCTGAACTTTTACCAAGAAAAGAAATGTTGTTCTTTGGAAAATAATTTATTTTGCACCACAAAACATATTTTGTCCCAGAATCAGAGCGAGGTGTTTGAAATCATCACCAGAACCTTGAAAGAACCATCTTTAAATCAGGAAGTTAAAGCTGTGGAACGGTTCCATGTTTTCTCTAAGAACATGAACGTTTCTTCCTCTTATGTTTTTTACATTTATTTACATTTTTGTTCGTAAATTTACATTTAAAGTGACAAAAGATTAAAATTTTAACTCTCTGTTCTTCAGTCTCAGCTCAGACAGAAAACATTGTTTGCGTCCCATGATTCATGAAACAAACATCTGTGAGCACAACGCTGGTTCTGCTGCTGGTCCTGGTCCAGTTTGTGACAGTTTGCTCCTTCACAACTTTAAACTGTAGTTTTATAAATTATTTGGACTTTTTGTTGTCAAAGTGAAGAACGACCCTAGACGTTTTTTGGGGTTTGTGGTTCCGAGGTGGAGATGAGAGTCCAAACGGGTCAAACTCTCACGCTCTGCTGCTTTGCAACAAAATATAAAAACAATAAAATAAAATAAAAACATTTAATTTAAAAATCTAAATAATACAAGAAAAAAACTGCTGTTTTTGTGCAAAAGTTGAAAAAGGCAAAAGTCTTAAACAGAAACTGGGTTTTTAGTGCTGAACAGTCCAGAACCAGACCTGGGTTAGACCAGGTGAACCGGATCACATGACTGGTGGGCGGAGCTACAGCTCCCTGACAGCAGGTGCAGCTGCAGACCAGCTCAACACCAGTATTAATCTGATTTCTAGTACAAATTGGGCCTCGTCTGGTTCTGCTTCAAGAACCGAGAAGTTCAGAGATATTTTACTAACAGGCAGAAACATGATCTCCCACTCCAGCGTCTCGTGGTGGGTGATACAGTAACACAGTCTCTCTACAGTCGAGAAAAAAGTTCTAAGTTTTGGTTGGTTTCTGTAAACAAAACGTTTGGTTTGGACCTACTTGACCCATTTGGAAGTTCTGCAGAAAGGTTCTGTTCGGAACAGATGAACCCAAACAGCTTCCAGAACTACTGTCCCTGAACAGTCCAACAGAAGGTTCTGGTGTCAGTCCTATGACCCTCAGGTCTCACAGTGTACCATACCCACAGTTCTGGACTGGACCTGGTTGGGTTCAGGTTCTGGTTCTGGAGTCAGACTTTGGTTTTAACAGGAAGAAATAAAAGTTTTGTACAGCCACTGAAAAGAAACTCACCAGCATCTTTTATCAAACCAGAACCTTTAAACCCACTGAAACAAAGCTTTGGGTCGGTTCTGGTCTCGTTAACTTTCCTCTCAGGTCAGAGAATAAGATGCAGAACCGAATGGATCAATTCAATTAATGGAAAAGGAGGTTCTGTGGGTTCTAGCTGGACCTGCAGCTGACCCATGGCAGAGACAGGGAACATCTGAGTCAGTTAACGTCAGGTTCCGTCCAACAGAACCTCTGAACTGCTTGGGTTCTACTGAGATGAACAGAACGGTTCCGTCCAACAGAACCTCTGCTCGGGTTCTACTGAGAAAAACAGAAATGTTCCCTCTAACAGAACCTCTAAACTGCTCCGATTCTACTGAGATGAACAGAACTCAGGAACACGTGGAGGAATGATTCCTGCTCGGGTTCTGTGAAAGCTTTAGACCCAGGAGTGACGGGAGGCGGTTCTGGACTGAAGAATAAACAAAAACCCAACAATACTCACAACATGACAAAGAGCACCTGACCCATCGTGGGTCTGAACCGGTACCAGACTGGGCTGCGACAGAACCCTTCAGAGGACCTCGGGTTCCTCCTGAGACGGGCCTTTGTCTCCTGAACATTTCAGGTTCTTGTGGGCCTCTAAACCCATCTCACTGTGGTCTCTGCCAGTCCAGAACACCAGAACTGTTTGGAATGGACCGCCTGGTTCTGTTTGTGTTGTTGACTCCTGCAGGACAGGAACATCTGAGGCAGCAGCCCAGAGTCCAGCTCTAACCTGATGATTAAAAACTGGTCCAGGTCTTTGGTGGGATCCTAAACCTGGGCTGGTTGTCGAGATGGGCAGTGACGTGACGTGCACGATAGTTCTACATGGCGTGCACGTGAAAAATCAGGCCGTCGTTTTCACAAACTGACCAGAACTCAGAATTCAGGGAGACCGGACTGAAGGTCTGAGTGTTTCCTCAAAGTCTGGAGTCTCCAACAGTCACAGCTCAGAGAGACAGACACACAATGAGAGAGAGACAGACACACAAAGAGAGAGATAGGGAGAGACAGACACACAACGAGAGAGAGACAGACACACAAAGAGAGAGAGACAGACAGACAGAGAGAGAGAGACAGACAGAGACAGACAGACAGACAGAGAGACAGTGAGCGGGGCTGAGCAGTGAGTTTTTTGTGGCTGTGGTGAGCCAGATCTGGCAGAAAGGTTCTGCTGTGTTTGTTCCATCCTCCTGTGTTCTTTCAGAACATCATCTGGACCTGACCTGGTTCCAGATGTGTTCAGAACCTCCATCAGGCTGAGTGGTACTGCTGTGAGGAGCAGAGTGGGGAAAGTTCTGGTCCTTCCCTGGAAACCGAGGCAGTTTTCTACGATGGTTACAAAGAGGCATGTCTGGGTGGTTTTGGGTCGTGGAGGTGAGCAGCACCAGAGGAGCGGTCTCCTGGTGGTTCTAGAAGGTGTCAGGTGAAGCTTTAGGCTTTCTGCTCCAAGCAGGCGCCCTCGCTGAGGTGACTACCTTGGCACGGCGGTTTCTGTTTTTCCCACTGGCACATGGCGTTAGCGTAACCCACGATGACTTTATCCATCCAGGTGAGGGGCTGGGGGAGGAGCACGGCGCCCTCGAAGAAGCCCAGGTGACCTCCGTGAAGCGTCAGGGCAAAAATCACGTTGGGCTTCTTTTCTACAGAACAAAGAATAAATAAATAACAGCACAGGCAGGTCCAAAGAACAAACTGTTCAAATACAGTGATTCTGAATCTTTGTTTCAGTTCATACTGAAACAAACCTGAGAGAATATTGTTTTATCTTTTTGTTTGTTTTTAGCTCATTCAAAGTCAAACGTCATCCCGGCCCACACTGCATTCCACTTGGTAGAGCAGCAAAACATTGTTTGTCAACAACAATTAAACAAAAGAAGAAGAAAAAGAAGAACACATGAAATGTGTCCTAATATGGGCATGGCCTGACTTCCTCTGATCGGTCAAAGATAAAAAAAAAGGTGTTTAGAGTTACAGTAAAGAGAGGATTAAAGTCCACCTGAGACACGTCTACAGGCTGGATGAAAGACTTTCACCTGTCTGAGTGCAGACCACAGGTGTCCCCACACACCTCTACCTGTCTCTGTTTCACACACCTCTACCTGTCTGTCTCACGCCCCTGTACCAGTCTCTGTACATGTCTCACATCTGTACCAGTCTCTGTACCTGTCTCACATCTGTACCAGTCTCTGTAC